TCTTGGTAATGACCTAAGTATCGCGAAGGTCGATGATGTTGGTGCACTTGATTGATGAACATTGTCGTTTGCAGATAGGTTTTGCTTTTTTCGTGACGTTTGAAAAAGCAACGACGTTTGTAGTCATCTTAAGCCTTCTACCAGTTAAAAATATTTTGCAGTTCAATTGCACAAAAAATAGACGTTTTCATCAATTTTTTTTCACAATGTATAGCACAAAACTACAAACCTTGAATATATATATATACGTATATATACACACAGCACCGAAAGTAATTAAGGAAGCAGTGAATAAAATGAGTATAAACGAAAATATTATGAGATTGTTCCTCCTTCGTGTATTAACATAAACTGCACCAGACTACAGTCACGTGATAATTTATAATAATTTATACTTTGATTGACTGTCACCCAACCAATCAATCAGACAGCGCCACACCAGTATAATACCTGATAAAAATACAAGCACTTATACTATTCCCAACAGTAGTGTGGTGAATGCACTTATGGCTTCCAAGACAGAAATGTCATTAAAAAACGTGTAGAACTTAAAGTTTGGTTTATTGAAAGCTAATCCATGTTGCAAATTGAAGCGAAATTTTATATTTCAGTAAAAGCTATATGGAAAGGGTAGGTGAAAGTAGTCTTTTTTGATAGTACAAGTGGTTTCAATAGAAATCCCATATTCTTCAAAACTATGTTAAATAACTCACGTTATTCTTTTTGCATGTTACACAACAGTCCAGCAGAGACATTGCAAATGACCTTGCTGTAACTACAGGTGTAAATGTTACCTCCAGAATAGAAAGATACATATTAGCACTAAGTGGCCTCAGTAGATGTGTAGCTACTCAAATCTCAAGGTTTGAAGAAACTGTAAAGTTGTAATGGGCATCATAGTTCAAACAGAGGAATGAGCAAGCTGCAGAAGGGTGCTGTGCAGATGAATCCAAATTCAAATTGCTTGACAACAATCAATGATAGTTTGTTCGATGGCAAAAATGATACCAGTATCACAGTGAATGTACAACATCTACAGTAAAGTGTGCTCAAGGTAAAAATACAAGCAAGAAAACATCTCATCCAGTGGTATAACAAACATACACGAAACTGATGGTATCCTGACTGCTGACAAGTAGAACCATAGTTTTCCATTTTGTCATTCCTCCATGAACGAAACCTATTATGCAGGAATTCATCTTTCAGCAAGACAATGATCTCGAGCATAAACAACAAATATGGTTAAACGATACCTGGAAGTAAAAGAGGTCGAGAGAACATTCACAACCATGTCTTAGCCTGCAAAAATTCTCAATATAAATATTATTAAGGATTTATGAGCCTATGTCGAAAATACAAAGGTCAAACGGCAACCAAATAAGTAGGTTGAATTGTGGGTAGTAATACAGGGCATTTAGAACAATACTTCACAATCATACATTGATAAACTTATTTATCATAAAAACAAGGTTCACTCTGTATTTAAAGAAAGTACCAAATACTAGTGCATTGCTCAAGTTATTTACGTTTATTTTGTATTTTCTATGATAATCTAGTGCACTAATGATAATTTAATTATTTATTTGTAATTATACATTATTTGTGTCTCCTGTATGTGTATCATCTGAGTGTTGTTATTATTATTTCCCATACTGTATATTTATGAAATGGTCCCACATATTACGTTCTAAAGAATAAGAAGGTTTGAAAAGTGATACTAAAGAGAAAATATCAAAAAAGCATATTTTAGAAAAACCAGCGAATAATTTTTGTCTTAACTTAAAACATTAAAAGCCCATAAATTAATGAAGTGTCTCTGAAGAGAAAAAGTTTAATATTTTTAGAAGTAGCAATTTTGTGCTATTGATAATACAAAATACAAAGCTGACAGGTTTCTACAGCCTTGGCTAAAATGTTTCCATATTTTGTAACAAATAAGATCTTTAAGATGGAATACAAATACACTTAGCACTGAGAAATGCATGTTTTATAAAACATCTAATTATGTAATTTGTATGATGAGACAAGTTCTATGAACATCATCAACGATTTATTAGAAAGCAAACAATTTTATCAGACATCTGTAGAAAGATATGTAATTCAGTACTTCACCTATCACAACAAAAACCTTACCTACACATATATAATGACAAAATATAACATCACATTATTACAAATAGTGTGTGTAACCTTATATCAGTTCATAATAAACTTTCATTACTTGATTGGTCCTCCTCGTGTTCTAATAATCTCCACAACACCATGTGGCATGCTCTTGATGCAGTTATTGATGTAATTTACCTCGATTTTATCCCAACTTGCCACTAGAAGGCGCAGCAACTCAGCTAAAGTAGCTGGTTTAGGATCGTGGTTAGCAATTTTACAGTTCAGTTCTGCCCAACAGTTCTCAATTGGATTACAATCTGGAGCGTTTGCTGGTCATTACAATCTTGTAATGTCCTCCTGGTCGAGATAATCCTGTACAATACGTGCACTGTGGACAGTGGCATTTTCATCCTTGAACACAAAGTTCAAGTTCTTGCCAAACCTTGTCCTAACATATGGCAGAAATATTGTCTCCGTGTGATGCCTGTAGGAGGCAGCATTGACGTGGAGGATATAAAGAGCAGTTTTTTTTCACTATGATGAATAGCTGCTCAAACATTTACTGCACCATCTTCTGTGTGTTCCCTGTGGGAAAGACAGTCTTCCCTCATCTGTTATCCAAGCAAACGACGAACACGAATTCTATCACCAGCTTTAACAACTCGAAAACAGGGCTCATCTAAAAAGATAACATATCGCTAGTGTCCTAGATGTAAATTGGCATGCTGTCTTGCCTAAGTAACATGGTGACGGCAGTGAATTCTGGTTAATATCGGTTTGCAAATAGCCCTTCTTTCAAAATAACCTTTTTTGGTCAATCTTCTATTCACTGTCCCTCTGGATACCCTGGAATGAATGTGTTTATGCCATTCCTGCCGTAAAGTGTTGCAAGACTTCTTTCGACCTTGACGTGTTAACATGATCAAAACAAGGTCATCTCGGACAGTAGTTTTTCGGCGCCTACCAGTAAACCTTTTATGGAACAACGTTTCCTATAGTACGATAGCGTTTCAAGATTCTGGATACAGTACACTGGGGGTACCATACTGTTCTGGTTATGCTCGTTTGCTTCATACCATTTCTGGACAGTCGAACAATTTGACGTCCTATAGCTTCTGACACGTGAAGAGGCATGATTCTACACCAAATTGTCTGAACAAAGCGTTGATCTGTTTCGAAAAAATTATATCTAAAGCACACCCTTTAATACAAATGCTCAAAGCAACTTATACAGACCATAATAACAAATGGTATATGTTTGACCGATCATACAATACCTTCTCTGTTACTACTCGGGCATTTACTCAACAACTACTACATGCCTTTAGATAATATCATCAATATAGAACAGTATGCAACCATTTTGGCCAAGACAATACATATTTTACATTGATATTATACGTGAGAAGGTGGACTTGGTTGCTAAGATTCTGGAAGGTTATTACCCAAAAGAGAAAGAAGGTAAACAGAAGTATATATATGTATATGTATATATAATTAAAAGCCACTGTCTGTTAGTAAAGCTAGGTAACGCCCAAATTGCCACAGAGTTTAGAACACCCACCTCTCAATCAGATGTCTTGCGTTCAAATACCAGCACAGTTGGGATTATTTACAACTCTTTTAAATAAGTGATCATGTTTAGAGCAAGCTCTTTCAATATTCAGAAAACAAAAATACCACGATTTTTTAAATTAATATTTTTGTAGATTGGATGTGTTCCCCTAAACATCAAAGTGGCTCAGTGATTACAGAGTTAGCTTTTTTTGCGTAAGTTTTGCATTCAGATCTCAGTCGAGTCGGCAATGTATCTTATTTTTTTATTAATTATCATATTTACAGGAAGGTCTTTCAATACCATTATAGATTAAATCAGGGGTTTGAGATATTGGTGAACATTCGAATTAAAAGATAGCATTTCACGGCATCAAGACATCTCGGGTTTTCATTTCAATCGAACATTTTTAGCACCATCTATGAAAGGAATTATAAACTAAAATTCTGAAAGAAACTAAGAATTGTTCAGAAACAATACAAGAAAGAAAAAGTATCTTAGCAAGAGAAAAAAAGTAGATGGATGGCACAGAAAAATCAAGAAAGCTTAGCAAAAATTAGGATAACTGAAGCAGAGGAGAAACAACTGTCACGGTCGGTCAAATTAAGCTCCGGAAGAAACAAAGCGAATAAGACAAACTGATGCTGGAAAACATTCAGACAGGATCTGGCTCCCTATGTCTTTCCCGTGCGTTGAATGGGTATATCAGCTTGTATATATATATATATAAACATGCAACTCATTTAAGGTAACAACGTTTGGCGAACTGTATTAGGAGGTAACTTGAAATCCAGTTGAATTATTCAGGGAAAATCTGCGTGGAACAACTTAAGAATGTTAAGTATTTGTAACTGAAACAATATTAGTCTTGTACTGTAAGTTTTTTTACTAATCTGAACAATGGGCAGATGTTTGTATTGTAAATATATGTGGCATATAACTAACTCTATTAAACATTAACTAACGTCTTGTAATTGTAGTATAGAGGCCACAATACGCGGCCTTGAATCTCATTTAAACGATAAAATTTTATTGACCGTGTATAATCAGCCTGGACCAAAGGTTAAAATTGTAAGTTCATTCACTCATCCACCCCAACTGATTCAGCGGTAAGTGGGCACAGCATAGATAGCCCATTGAGTAACTTTGTGTTTAACAACAAACAGACTAATTATTTTACTTATTTACTGTTTACGTAAATCTATGTATTTTATTGAATGAGTAGGATATAAAAGAAACATGAAAATATCATTATTTCATTAGTACCTTAGTAATGATTACAAAGGCATCAATAAATCTACGCATAATTTCTTTTAACTAGATTTTATTTTGATTTCAGTTAAACGGGATGTTCCTCAATGAATCGGAAATACGACTACACACCCCAAAATGAAACAAGAGTTCTGTACTCGGCTGTTTTCAGTTCCTCTATTGGTCGTTACCATAGCAGTATTGTGGACAGCAGTGGCTCCACTCGTAGCTGAAGGCTGTTTACAGTGCAAGCACAAACCAATTCGGAAAAAAATAGATAAATATTCGGTAAGATATTATCTTTATGGTTTAATAAATGAAAAGAAAATTTCTCTTTTTATTTTAATTAGTGAAATCTGTTTTAATTTTCTGGGTAAAGTTACTAATGACATTCATATATCACCTCTGACTAGACCAAAATCTAAGAAATGGCAGTTGCATTCTTTAGAGCTAAGATGTTCCGCTTATGAAGTCAATGAGATTTTAAATGAATGCATATTTTTATCTGTAAAAATAATTAATGTTACTGATCATAACAAATTTGGTCCATTTTTTATTTCTTAAAATGACCATTAAAAAATTGCTTTTATAAAGGTTATAAAATGTGTTCACATTATCATATCAAAAATAATTAAGTATATAAAAACATAATAAATGAAGGCCTTTTTTTTATCTTATTTGGCAGATTATATATTAGTTATTGTAGTGGACTTCCTTTTTAGAGAATGTTGAGATTTCCATTGGAACTTTGGCACCATACATAAATATATATTGTATAAATAGTATTGATATCCAACTAAGTATTTTGATTATATTTGTGCCCTAAGATGATGTTTTTTCTAATTTTAGGACGATAGGAAAATCCCAAAGGGAGCAGTAAATAAACTGGACTCAGTGCTGCATATGATCGACGAAGTAACTAGTCCAAACTTCTGCGAGACAGACAAAGTCTATCGCTCTTTTCCTTTAGAAATGCCGACGATTTTGTTTGATATTGTTCGTCAGAAGGTGGATTTGGTTGCTAAGATTCTGGAAGGCTATTACCCAGAAAAGAATGAAGGTAAACAGAAGTATATTTATATATATATATAATAGCCTCTGTCTGTTGGTAATGCTAGGTAACGCTCAAATTGCCTCAGAGGCTAGAGCACCCAAATCTCAAGCGGAAGCCTAGCGTTTAAATACCAGTACAGTTGGGATTCTTTACAATTTTTTCAAATTAAATAAGCGATCACGTTTAGAGCAAGCTATTTCAATATTCAGAAAACACAAGTACCATGATTTTTTTTATTAATATTTGTTTAGATTGAATGTGAACCAATTTGCATATTTATTTATATTTATATGTATAAGTACGTACAGCTCGTTTAAGGTAAGATTCTTTGAGAAACCGTGCTTGAAAGAAAATGACTACTTTCACTTTGACATCAATGTTGAGGAAGATGTATCTATCTGTTTCTATTACTTCGTGATGGTATATGTTTCCTTCCTTAAAATAAATTATATACGTGTTTAACTTTTATGAACATAAAAAGAATTAAATGAGGAATATTACTTTGGGACTTGAAATATTGATTATCCTAACATCAGCCAGTTTTTGTCTTTTATGAAAGTAGTTTCAAGCATGAGTAAATTGTTAGTTTAAAATGCCGCCCATGAATCACATGTTTAGTTGTCGCCAACTGATATATATCTTGCATAACGAAAGTCGTCGGTCGTGCGAGTTATAAATAATCGATAAAATACATAAAAGCTCTAACACATATTAAGTGTGATATTAAAGCAAACAGTCTCTTTGACGAATTTAGTCTTTTGTCATTTTCTTAATGCAAAATTGGTGTTTCTTGAAATGTCTTGTCAATACCACACAGTAATGTAGCACTGCTACTACTAACCGTTCATTTCTCCACTAGACGGCTCTTCTAGCGTTACTTTGGCTGTAAATAATTCAAGGATTTGTTGAGATCAACATTTATAGGACCTTAAATAAGATATTTAAAAAAATAGTGGGAATCGAATCTTAAAAATATGTACCGTTAATCAGCTTGTTTTATCACTTACAAATGTCTGCATAAAAGATACGTATTTTGTTGCGTTACAACGTCATCCTCGAAACATGTAGAGTCGTCAACTTTTTGAAGGCCATAGATAGGCCTAAATAAAATGTTTTT